CTGCCTTTCCTTCTCTCCCTGTGTAACTCTTTCAAATAAATAAATCTTTAAAAAGAAAAAAATTGTTTAAGCACAGGTGTCAGAACTGTTCAGGCTAAACCTCACAACTGGTGTTGAGAAGCATTCCTGCTCTCTAGGAGTAATTGTTCAGGTCTCCAGTGGACCAGGACATCTCAACAGTAATCTTATTATTACCATTTATTAGAGATGGTCAAGTAAGTAGAATGCTACTCTGAATTTGCGGGTGTGGGAGATAAACTCATAAATGGAGTTAGAGCTTTGGCTTCCTCTGCAGTTCCGCTGCTTCTGGAGCAGTATCTTCAGACTGTCTGGAACCACCTGCTGCTGCTGGGCTTTAGTAGGGACGTTCATGGCTGTTCTTGCCAGCTCTGTGTTGGCTGTTACTTTTAGTATTTGAACCATTTTTATTCTTTCAAGTGGGCATTAATGCAAGTTAAAGCTTACATGTTATAAATAGAAAAACCAAATAAAATATATGTAAACATTTTAAATGTGCTTGCGTCTGAGGCTGACTCTTCATGCAGTTGGTTTCTATTACGTACATGTGCCCTGCATACAGAGATGGTCTTTAGGAGTTGGACAGAATGACAAGAATGGCTGCTTTGCTCTGTTTACCTTACAGATGTCATGTGGCAGAATTAAATAGAAGAGAATATACAAATAGAAAACACTAAGTTATACAATTGACATCTCTCTTTGTAGGGCTGTGAACAATTCAAATTACGGTTGGAGAGCCCTGAGACTGTTAGCGCGAAGAAGCCCTCATTTCTTCCAGCCAACCAACCAGCAGTTTAAAAGTTTGCCAGAATATCTTGAGAACATGGTAATAAAGCTAGCCAAGGAATTGCCAGTAAGTAATTTAGATTGTCTCGTACTCTGTAGTTGACGTCATCTTTTTAAAAACTGTCACTGTGTGAGCAAAGAAATGAGCAAAATTTGAGATTTGTTTATCATGTCAAAAATAGCAATGCACAAACTTCCCTGTTTAGAATGAAAAAAATAATTTGAATATGTACACTTCCAGGAAATAAAGTAGCTGATAGTTTTCTGTAGCACGTAACTTAATACAAGTCTACAATATTTTAGGTAAGCTATTTATCCAGCCATTAAACTCACACATGAATGTTTCCCATTTGCCGTTATTGTCTTTCATCAAAAACAGGGGCTAAGGGTAGAAAATAGAGAATTTGCCCTTTGTTCCTGTTCTCTTTTCCAATACAGTTTTCTAACCATATTACAGCATGGATTACCATTAGATAATACCATATGACTGAAATCTAATAAAATTTTCAAAAAATGTTAAGGACACTGTGGCTCTCCGGCCTTCTCTACCAAACCTTTAGTCTCTGCACATCAGCTTCCCATGCTTTTCACTGCCTCCCTTCAGTGCAGGCTGGGGACAGGGGGAAATCTTCCTACCTGTAATCCTCACCTGATATTCACATTTAGCACTCCTGAGGGTAAGGTACTGGGGTCCTGTACTTAAGAGTCTCAAACCTCTGTTTATTTAAAAAGCATCTTCAGTTATCTTACTTCACAAGGTAGTATTCTTTTAAACATCTTTTCTCATTTTTAGCCTCCTTCTGAAGAAATAAAAACAGGTGAAGATGAAGATGAGGAAGATAATGATGCTTTACTGAAGGAAAATGAAAGTAAGAATTCAGTTTTCTTAGTTATTTTACAAAATTGGAAAAGACTGGGGTTCTTTATGGGGAAGTAGGTTTATTTCATCCAAACCACTTCTCAACTTCTGCCTCTTTATCTCAGTACTGTCTTCTGATAGGAATTAACAACAAAAAATACTACATTTTTGCAATAAAATTTGGAAGTGATGGTATTTTTAATGTAGAGAAGTGGAGTTGTAACTGATAACTACTGGAGGGGGACAGCTGTTGATAATAATCATGATCATAAGAGCAGTATTCACCCATGGAAAATGTGAAAAAAGTTATGTTACAAGAAAGCTTACTAAAAGTGGTAATTCAGTGGCCCCATAGCTGTCCAGTTCTGCTGTATAGTGTCCTTTACATGTATTATACAATAATCTCTCTTTTCTAGGTCCTGATGTTCGGCGAGACAAACCTGTAACAGGGGAACAAATAGAGATATTTGCCAACAAGCTCGGTGAACAATGGAAGATTCTGGCTCCCTACTTGGAAATGAAAGACTCAGAAATTAGGCAGATTGAGTGTGACAGTGAAGATGTGAAGATGAGAGCTAGGCAGCTCCTAGTTGCCTGGCAAGATCAAGAGGGAGTGCATGCAACACCAGAGAATCTGATTAACGCTCTGAACAAGTCTGGATTAAGTGACCTTGCAGAAAGTCTAACTAATGACAATGAGACAAATAGTTAGCTTCTTTTTTCTTTTTTTATTAAAACTGTGATAAGATTTTGTTACCAAGCAGCATTTGATAAGAGGTCCACTGGTTTTGGTAAACAATAAACATTTTTATAACAGTTGTTGTACAGTTGGCTGGTGCTCCAAGAACCATAGAACACACATTGGCTCAAACCTCAGGGTTGGAGGGGGTTGGGAATGGGAAAAATGACCAAAATGAGGTGACCTCAAGATCACAAAATATATTTTTGTTAAATGTATTTGTAATGAAGTTAAGTGATATTTAAGGATATGTTGTTTCATACACCAAATTAGTTTCCTGCACCCTATTAGTTATAAAATGTAGGGCTCTGAAATCCCCGATTAACACCTTCTGAAACCAAGACCACTCTATTCCACTTTATTCATGCTTTACAGCACAAACTGAGCAAATGATCTGTTCACTTCATGTTTTTATAATTAAAATTGTATTGGCACTCACTGTGCCTAATCCTGTTGGCCATGGTCCCTGCTGCCCTACAACACTAAGTATTTGCAACAGACAGACACCTATGGCCTGTAAAGCCTCAAATATATACCATCTGGCCCATTACAGAAAATGTTTGCCAACTCCCACCTTTAAAAACCTTACTCTTCTAACCTTAAAAAAAAAAGATGATGTCTTAAGTCTACCTCAGAGATTATGAAGTTCAAATGAGATGTATGTGAAAGCAGTACATGGTAATGGCTAAGATGGTACCCTCTGCTTTTCCTGTTCCCATATAAGCCATCCTTTAGGGCTGTAGGATTAGATCTTTGCAATTAATCCTGAAAAGGCTGCCATGAGCATCTGTCCTGTCAGTGCTCTTGGCTTAGAACTCAACGTCACTAGCGCCCAAGCAGGGATCCACCACAGCTCTAATGGGGCAATGGCCTCAGTGTTCATGGCACACAGCATATAAGGCACATTCAGGAATCAAGACTTTTTTGCCTGCTTGCTCTTAAAGACCTTACATGCAAGGCTGAAATCTAACACAGCCCTATTTGTTTAAAATACTACTGATGTAAATCCAATTGTTTAAAGGTATCTTTGGAATAGTGCTTTTTTTTTTTTAAGATCAAATAAATGAAACCAAGTTTTTTTTTTTCATAATGATGCAAGGAATTTACATTTTTTAAAACTCGAATACATTCCATATGAGGCTTACTACGTACTTCATTTTAAACCTTCCTCACCTGGCCTAGGAGCTGCAACATCCATCAGGTGAGAAAATCTGCATTCTAACTGCTAAATTCATATCCTTAACAAAACTATCCTGACCAAATATGACAAAGAAGAAAAAAGACTATAAAGTTACAGGCAAGATACAAACACTAATCATTACAACTTTTAGTATCATCACCTCCATTCTATTCTGCCCCCCAATAAAAGAACTGATTGCCAAGTCAATGTTGAGATGAAGAAGCTGTTAAAGAAATTTCCCTGAAAAGCTTATTTTATCCCCTAATGTTCTCAGATTACACTGCTCAGATGTGAGAGGAAAGTGACCATCATTCTCTTACGAATCTAACAGTTTACCAGTGTTATGCTCTACTGAGCACTGAAACAACGTCATGATAGTCCCCAAGCTTTAAATAACCTAAGTCAGTGTTCGACACAGCTACTATTCAATCCTTTATCTTCTCCCTAGCAATCAACCAAGGCTCCTGAAACACTGAAAAGTATCAAAATCTAAGAAACTTACCATACCTCATATTCCTGGTGTTTTCTACCATTACTTTAAAAAAAAATCACTAGTCTAAATCCTGAGGTGGACGCAAGATTTTGGGAATTAACAGGAGAATAAATAACTGAGCCAAGGAACGATTCTGACCAGTAACATCACTACATTCAGCATCCAAAGGTATCTATTACTTTTACAACTCTGCATGAAGAGGTAAAGAAGATAAATATTTTTAAATGGATACATTAACAGTGCAGTAATATTAACCATCTGCAGAAATTATATAGTATTAAACATATCAATCTTTAGCCAAGCTCTAACACTCAGAAGACAAGAGATCAAAAGCTGTTTATCCCCCTTTTTTATTAAATATCCTCATTTTCTAAAAATAAGCCACCAGAGCTTGTCAACATTTAAGGCTGATTACTACAAAACCATTGCAAAGTTACATGTACAAGCCATAGTACATTGGAGAGAGACACAATAATAAATGTATAATCAAATGTACTCTTACTGATCACAATTTATTTTAAAGTCATGAAAAGCCAGCAAGAGTCCGGCTGGATAAATACTTGATTGTACCCATGTTCCCATGGGATGTGGAAAGCAGCACTGAAGTACACAAGGAGAGCAACACTTCTTTTTCCACCTTCTTGGAAAAATTTTGTTAGATAAGGCAAAGGATGGGCAGCTACTGAGTGGCGGTTTGAACCATGCAACAACAAATAATAGGTAGTAAGTGCAATAAACATCGGATTGCTAAACCATTGGCTCAGGGAAAAAAGCAGGGAGAAAAATTACCACAATGTAATGGTTGAAAAGCATTTGAACTCGAATCTTTAAAAATTAATGCAAGAAATTAGCTTTTTAAAAATGTCTTCCATCCACCTTTATACATGGCAGCACAACCCAAAGAAAATTTTTTCTGTATTTTTTTAGTTTGAAATTTGGAGCAGGTCTGCTTCTCCCCTCGTTTCACATGAGGGGAATCAGAACCATCTAAATGTCTTTCTCTAAAGCTCTGGATTATAGAAATGATCAACAAATAGCATTTCACACCTAAGCATAAATAGCTACATGAAGATTACTGTTCATTTTCCTCTTCCATTATTTCAACTCTGCGAGGCCCGTAGAGTAAAACATAGGCGATATGCCAGTCTCCACCACCAGAAAGCCGCAAGATATCCTCTGGTGTGACGATGCTGACTTTATCATCATCAAACTTAATCCATTCATCTAAACCACAGAAAAGAAAATGGAAGTTAACATTACCCAGGAATCTTTTCAAAGTCTCATTTCCAGATAGGTACTGAGTAAGCTGGGGCTCTACAGCACTCCATCTGAACCAACAATTAGTGGTTCAGAGGATGGGGGTGTCCAGACAAGTATGAGGGGTGCATGAGGTCCCAACTGCTTCAACACTACCATCAAATAGATGAATCCACCCAAAAAACCCAAAACTGTAAATACCATTTCTTGTTTTTAAAATGACATTTTTAAAATGTTGTTAATAAAAATGTGTGCTTGTCATTTTCAAAATTTTTTAATTTCTCAATTATAACTGCTAACATTGTACTGAAATATTTAAGCATCATAAACAAAAGCTCCTTGGGACCTCAATAATAAGGATGTAAGGAATGAGACCACACATGCACACAAATGCTCAGAACTATACAATTTATGATAAATCATGAGTAATTAAAAAGAATGACCACTTACCGTGTTTCCTTTTCACCCATGATACATAATGACCTGAAGAACTAGACCTTCCCTGGTGTGTCAGCACTGCTTGTAAGTCATAGTATCCACAATTATTGGAGCCAATATCTAAAGAAAGATGGAACTCTATTAACATTGGACAATAAATACTCAAACATGTACTTTCTCTGGCTAAGTTAACAATCAGAAATAACTGCTTTAGATTAGAGAAGCACTGCTTTATTAGAATGCGTAAGTTACCACATCCAATCAGAATTAAGGCTTCATGTTAAACAGCCTTTCAGGGCAGACATTTGTCACAGTGACTGAGACCCCTTAAGACACCCACACCCCAAATTCAGAGTGCCTGATTCAAGTTCAGTAGTTGCTTCTGATTCCAGCTTATTGCCAATGTGCAGCCTGGAAGGCAATGAGTGATGGCTCAATTAGATGGGTCCCTGTCACTCAAGTGAGAGACCAGGCTCCTGACTTTAGCCTGGTCCAGCAGTGGCAGTTGTGGGCATTTGGGAAGTCAGCCAGTAGATGAAAGATACCTCTCTCAAATGAAATGAAAATAAATTTAAAGTGTGTCACTCAGAAGTGTATGCTAAGAGTAATTTTACTGTATGTCATGTTAAGGTCATTCAAGAAACCTGACTTAACAAAAATAAAAGGGCGAGGGGGGGGGGGGGACAGAGCCGTGGCATAGAAGGCTACACCTCCAACTGCAGCACTAGCATCCTAGGAGGGTGTCAGTTCAAGTCCCCACAGCTCTACTTCTGATCCGGCTCCCTGCTAATATGCCTGGGAGAGCACTTAGGCCCCAACACCCACGTGGGAGACCTGGAAGAAGTTCCTAGCTCCTGGCTTCAGCCTGGCCCAGCCCCTACCTTTGCAGCCATTTAGGGAGTGAATCAGCAGATGGATGATTCTCTCTTAACTTGGCCTTTCAATTTCAAATAAAATTTTTTTTTATTTTTTATTTTATTTATTTGAAAGTCAGAGTTACAGAGAAAGGTAGAGAGAGAGAGAGAGAGAGAGGTCTTCCATCTGCTGGTTCACTCCCCAGATGGCCGCAATGTCCGGAGCTGAGCCAATCTGAAGCCAGGGGCCAGTAGCTTCTTCCAGGTCTCCCACATGGGTGCAGGGACGCAAGGACCTGAGCCATCTTCCACTGCTATCCCAGGCCATGGCAGAGAGCTTGATCAGAAGAGGAGCAGCCGGGACTCGAAGTGGACACTTCAGGCCAGGGCTTTAACCTGCTGTGCCACAGCACCGGCCCCTCAAATAAATATTTTTTTAAAAAACAGCATGAGATCCAAATAGATATGTGCCAATAATTTCCCCTCAAAAAACATACAAGCACACACAAGGATAACTCAATCAGATTGACAATTTCACTTACCATCTGCAAATGAAAAGGGTTCATACCTAACTTCTTTCTGGGGACTGCTCTTCTTGTCACTCTAAGGGGAAAAATATTGTGAATTTAAAATCATGTTCTATTACTGGAAGTAAAATTTGTATTCTCAATGAGCTTCTGATTTCGCAAATATTTACTATTTACAATGCAAAGCACTGAGGTAAAGTAACTATCTACCTCACAGATTACAGCCCACTGCTCTCACTGCTAATGCACCCAAGAATGTAGAAGATGCTCCAAGTGCTTGGGCCTCTGCCACCCACATGGGCAACTCGGAGTTCAGGCTCCTGGCTCTGGCCTGGCCCAAAAATGGCAATTAGGTCAACGAGTTCTTTCCCCACCCAGACAAGGGAATTTCTTATTCACAGTACAGAAGGCAGCGTGAATTGGCAGCATGAGCTTCAAATTCACACCTATTCTCCCTGTCCCCCACGTCCCTCCAGGCCATGTGTAAGGCCTGGGGCGCCAGACAGATGCTTCCTACATATCTGGTCTGTGTCACATCTGAAGGACACAACTTAAATCCTCCATCTTTTTAGAATAATCTTCTAAAGCAAACCTGCTCTCAGACCCTGAGGGAGACGTCATCTTTATTATACAGGGCAGGAAATCTACCCTTGGCTGAAAAGGAACACATTGTGTACTCTCAGGCTGTTTAGTACTCAAACTTACTTGAAAAGAATTTAGAAAAAACAGAAGAACTATCAGTGCCTTGCTCTCTAAAGTTACAGAAACCACGAGATCCGTCTCCTACAAAATGGCAATAGGTCAGACATCACTGCAGGACCCATGAATAAAGAAATGGGAACATCAAACTGAAGTAACCTCTACTCCCATGCCCCTCCCCACCAAGCCCTGCCAGTGACCAAAGCAAACATGATGGGTAGTATTAATGACACTTAGGGACAGAATCATCAAGTACTTACTCAATAAATTTGGATTAAAGTATCAATTATTCCATGCTCTGAGAGAGCAACTCTATCTAATCCATGGTAGTGGCCCTGTCCCTCATGCCTCCACCTCGGACAAGGACAAGCAAGCAAGTGATGCTGGGATTATAAGGGGTTTGTTACACAGCGGAACAGAGCAGGCTGGTGAAAGGCATGGTTTAGGTAACCACTTTGGGCACACAACAAGCCACTTCAAAAAGAGGGATCTTGTTATTTCTTTCCTTTCTGTGGTAAGATTTTTCCTTTGTTTGCTCGTCTTTCTTCACTTCCACCTTACCTACACTTACATAACCTATCAGTTGACAGCACTATTCAACTGACATGGTTTTACAGTGATATATCTTCATTTACTTATCCACTAAGGATACATCCAGTTGATTGCACATCTGGGCTATTATGAATAGTGCTGTAGTAAACACAGGAGAGCAAGTGTTTCTTCTGGTGTACTGAACTCCGTTCCTTTGGATAAATACCTAGTGGTGGAACTGTTGGGTTATGATATTTCTATATATTTTCTGAGGCACCTCCACAGTGCTTTCCATGATTATACTAACTTACATTCCCACCAACAGTGTGTAAGAGTTCTCCATTCTATGCACCCTCATCAGCATTTGCAAATTTTTTTTCTATTGGATTATATTTGGAGATGACATCTCATTATGATTTTGCTGAACATTTCCCTAATGAGTGATGTTAAGCATTTTTTCATATACTTGCTGGCCATTTGTTTATCTTTTAAGAAATGTTTATCTTGGGCCATTGCTGGGGCACAGCAGGTTGGGGCCCCAGCCTGCAGCACTGGCATCGCATATGGGCACTGGTTGCCCAGTTCTCTACTTCTGATCCAGCTCTCTGTTAATGCACCTGGGAAAGCAGCAGAGAATGGCCCAAGTGCTTGGGCTCCTGCACCCATACGGGAGACCTGGAGGAAGCTCCTGGCTCCTGGCTTTGACTCAGCCAGTCATTGCAGCCATCTGGGGAGTGAACCAGAGAATGGAAGACTTCTCTCTCTGTGTCCCTACCTCTCTAACTCTGCCTTTCAAATAAATAAATATTGAACAACAAAAAAAGAAATGTCCAGTCAGGTGATTTCCCCATTTTTTAATCAAATTATTTGTTGTTTTGCTACTGAGTTTTGTTTCTACAGCCTTTAACAAATGTATTCTGAATACTAAAACCTGTCAAATGAATAGTGAAACAAATATTTTCCTCTTGTGCTGCAGGCTATTTTCACTCTGTGGTTGCCTTTGCTGTACACAAATTTTTTAGTTCAATATAATCTGATTTGTTTACCTTTGCTTTTGGTGCTTGTGCTTTTGAGATCTTATCCAAAGAGTCACTGCCTATATCAATTTATTACTGGCTTATGTATTTACTATACTTTTAATCATTATTTTAGAGTGTACTTCCTCTACTTACAAAAAATTTACTTGGAGGAGCCAAGACGGCAGCACAGCAACAGGACATTCTATGCGTATGGATAGTTAATAAGGCAAGGGGATGCGGGCTGGTGACACAGCCACATGAGTTTCAAGCAGAGAAACCCAGGAGTCCAGCAGAGACTGAGCAGGCCCACACACGGGGAGCAAAAAGTCACTGAGACACAGCAGAGGTGCTGTGGAGAAGCAGAATGGGGCGACGCCATGCCCTCCCAGCTCCCTGGGCGGACCAGGTGAGACGCTAGGTCGGGAGTTCACGGAGCTGCGGTTAGCAGCAGGCGTTAGCAGCAGGCAAGAGAACTGAGGGAACTGTTTGAAATTCCAAGAGGGAAGAATCGGGGAAAAGACAAACTAGGGCATACCACCACCCATCCACATCTCCCCATCCCCCTAATCGGACCTGCAGCCAGCTGGGAGAAGTCATATTGTCTGTTTACAACTCCGAAGGTAAACATGGTGCTACTGTATCTGCCCTCCATGCACACGCCCATCGACTGTGAAGCCACTTTGCCACACACCCCCCACCCCAAAGCAAGGATCAACATTTCAGATCTGCAAGATTCTATCAAACAACCCAACATTCGGATCCTAGGAATTCCACAAGGCATCGAAACAAAGAAAGGATCAGAAGGGCTTCTTAATGAAATAATAGCAGAGAACTTCCCCTTCTGGAGAAAGAAAGGGACATTCAAGTTCAGTAAATCCACAGAACTCCCAATAGACATGACCAGAAAAGATCCTCACCTAGACACATAGTGGCAAAGCTCTCCCCAGTAACACACAAAGATCCTAAAATGTGCCTGAGAGAAACGCCAAATCACATTCAGAGGAAACCCGATTAAACTCACCCCAGACTTCTCATCACAAACCCTTCAGGCAAGGAGAGAATGGTGAGACACACTCTAAGTCTTAAGAGAAAAACACTGAAAACCCAGATAACTGTACCCTGCAAAACTCTCATTTATGAATGAAAGAGAAATAAGGATCTTCCACATCAAACAGAAATTGAAAGAATTTGTAAGCACACACCCAGCTCTAGGAATCATGCTCAAACAAAACATGCTACACACAAACACAAAAACAGGAATATCACTGGAAAAGTAGATAATTACCCAGCAAAAGAACAAATGAAATCCAAAGTACATAAACAGAACAATTTGCAGAAACATGACAGGACAAAGTCAGTACTTAGCAATAGTCACACTGAATGTAAATGGTCTTAACTTCCCAGTTAAAAGACACAGAGTGGCTGAATGGATTAAAAAAGAAAACCCATCTATCTGCTGCCTACAGAAAACACATCTCACCAACAAAGATGCTCGCAGACTCAAAGTGAAAGGATGGAAAAAGATAATCCAGGCCAACAGAAACCAAAAAAGAGCTGGTGTGGCCATCCTAATATCAGACAAAATAGACTTTAACACAAAAACCATCAAGAAACAAAGAAGGACACTATATAATGATCAAAGGATCAATTCAACAGGAAGATGCAACCATTATAAAAACATATGCACCCAACCACAGGGCACCTGCCTATTTAAAAGAAATGTTAAAGGATTTAAAGGGAGATAGAGATCCAAATACAATAGTGATGGGGGACTTCAATACTCCACTCTTAGCAATGGAAAGATCAACTAAACAGAAAATCAGTGAGGAAACATCAGAGTTAATTGACAGCACAGACCAAACAGACCTAGTAGATATCTATAGAACATTTCATCTTATTGTTGCAGAATATACATTCTTCTCAGTAGTGCATGGAACTTTCTCTAGGATTGACCACATACTAGGCCATAAAGCAAGTCTCAGCAAATTTAAAAAAAACTGAAATCATACCATGCATCTTCTCAGACCACAATGGAATGAAGCTGGAAATCATCAACTCAGCAATCTCTAGAGCATATGCAAACACATGGAGACTGAACAACGTGCTCCTGAATGAACAGTGGATCACAGAAGAAATCAAAAGAGAAATCAAAAAAATTCTGTAAACAACAAAGATGACAATACAACATACCAAAATTTGTGGGATACAGCAAAAGCAGTGTTAAGAGGAAAGTTTATAGCAATTGGTGCCTACATCAAGAAACTGGAAAGGCACCAAATAAATTAACTATATATACACCTCAAGGACCAAGAAAAAAAAGCAACAAACTAAACCAAAAACCAATAGAAGGAAATAAATAATTAAAATTAGAGAAGAAATCAACAAAATTGAAACAAAAAAAAATACAAAAGATCAACAAAATGAAGAGCTGGTTTTTTGAAAAAATAAACAAAACTGACATGTCATTAGCCCAACTAACCAAAAAAGGGAGAGAGAAAACCCAAATCAACAAAATTAGAGATGAAAAAGGAAATGTAACAACAGACACCACAGAAATAAAAAGAATCATCAGAAATTACTACAAAGAGCTGTATTCCAACAAACTGGGAAATGCAGAAGAAACGGATAGATTCCTGGACACATACAACCTACCTAAATTGAACTATGAAGACACAGAAAACCCTAAACAGACCCATAACCAATCAGAAATTGAATCAGTAATAAAGGCCCTCCCAACAAAGAAAAGCCCAGGACCGGATGGGTTCACTGCTGAATTCTACCAAACATTTAAAGAACTAATTCCAATTCTTCTCAAGCTATTTAAAAC